ATATTGTTTAACACTACTTGAATACACTTGGAATGTCCATATTGAATTACGCGAGTAAGAAGTGTGTCGTGATGTCGCGTTTCAGTCCAACGACATTTCTCCGACCAATATTTTTTTTGAGTGTGATGAGCATATACATGTATTAATAGGGCGTCAAGATTATTAGCATCATTATTATAGATAGCAGCCGCTATCATATCCGTTATCGATTTGTTTGTACTGGAGAAACAACCAATACAGCCATTTCTTAACTTCTTGCCTTGTATAACTGCTTTCACGTTCAAGGTACGGTAAACATGAGTCAATTGTTGTCTTTTCCATGCTCGTCCTGGCATTCGTCTTCGTTCTGTATAACCTTAAAGAGTTCAAAAACAATTTGAAGAATGAATTTTACTGTCTGAAATTCGGTTCTCTTCAAAGTTGCACGTGAAAAAAGCCTATTGGACTGGTTAAAATGGATAAAACATACGTGATGATGAATGTAGTGGATTGAGTTTTCTAAATTCTTTTGTTCGAATAGCACATTTACGTTGGTGTTGAAGTTGAACACGTTTGCGGTCATCGGACGTTTCCAAAAAATTGGTGCTCCTGAACGCTAATTCATTTTGTATACTTCCTACTATCATGAAAAATGTGTGTCGTTGAAGTTGCAGTAGCGAGTTTTATTTCGAGAATTTATCTTGTTTTACAACACTGAATGACACATTTTATGAAATAGAACAAAGAACAAAACAGTCGAATATTGTTTATGCGTCATTTATGAAATTGGCTCTGTCTGATGTAATACCTGAGAGAGTTAAATTTCATAGGCAAATACGAACACCAACTAGAATGCACATATTAAATATAAAGTGTGTCGCATGTGTCATCGTTTGCAATACAATCTGTAACACATGAAAGTGAGTCATATGATACTAGTTGCAATACTTTTAAAAAGGGGTAAATATAAACTAATACCTAAAAATATAGCAATCTGTATCTAATTTTAAAATAAATCTATATCTAATATAGGATGAATTTATATCTAATTTTAAAATTTATTTATATCTAATTTATTAAGTAACATTACCTAACAACACAAAGTTATATCTAATTAATAATTAAAGTAATATAAAAAAATAAAGATACAATTATCAATTATTTACAAAAATAACACAGCAAAAAAAAGAAAACGATTGCACAATTAATGCTTTTTTAGCTTCAACAGAGTCTATTGAATCTGTTTTATCATTATCTAATAATGCTGCTGCCATTTTTTTAATAGTATATTTTTTTATATTTTTTTAAACTAACTCTTTTCTTATCACTTGTCGTCATTCCTAGCTGATATATACTCTCTCAATTAATTGATAAGTACTAATCAATTATAGATTACGTTCAAATTAATTAGATAATTCGATAAATTGATTGATAGTTATTTGTTAAAAGTGATAATATATTAAATTAAAAGACAGAACATTTTTTAATTCAGAAATTTAATTGATTTAAAAGATGTTTTATTAAAAAGTTAGATTAAACAATTTTTTTAAAAGTATTCTTTCACCGAAATAGATACTACTATGTTAAGTTAGGAAATATTCATATAGTTTAGATACAGATTGCTATATTTTTAGGTATTACATTAAATGCATGCCTTTTAAAAATGTGGTTCGAATTCAGACTTTAGCACAATTGTCATTTGTTATTCAGAAATAAATAATTTTCTTTTCGGTTAAGTTTGAATCAATAATGTATCTTCTTGAACTGAAAGCGGTCAGATGTTGATATCGAGTCATACTAAGTTCATCTGATCTCAATTAAACCCCTCGACATATCGGAAGACCCCCTTGGACAAACGCAGCAAAGGACAGTTTCAAAGACCCCCCCGGCTGAAAATTGATTTTGATAATAATTTTTAAAGCTTTTTATTTTTTTAGTATCTATTTATATGTTAATGTTCATGTTCTTTTTAGTACGGACAATATTTTGCTTTCACATCTTAGTAGCATGTCAGCTCTGAGTTGGATAGTTCATTAGAAAAAGCTAATAGGAACGTGCAGTAAGTAAAAACAATATTTTCTGTTTAAAAAAACGTGTTCTGAGATCACTTTAATGCTCCTTTTCAGTTTCTTTGCGAAAATATTTGTTCCAACGATCACAGGATCTAATTAACATCTAATGCTTCCAAACGTGTCACACATCAAGAGATCGTTCTGAAATAAGAACATCTTCGGTAAAAAGCCATTGTCCATTAGTTAATACTTCGCTTCGTCTTTGCACTTTCTTCTAGGAATTTTGATGTTCTTATCATGCAAGATCTCATTCGTAATTGGAAACAATATATCTCTGAGGACATACAATGAGATGTGTCTTATAAAATTCCTCTCATATGTTTGAGGACCTATCTATTCTCGCATGAATATGCCAAGGTGCTTTTCGAAGCAGAAGCGAAAGATTCTAAAATCACTCGCAACGTGTATTCAATCTCTCTTTTTCTGTAAATTTTTTCTTCGTATACAACCATATTCATTCAAATTCGGTAGAAACTAATAACTAAACTGGTGGTACATTTCATCTTGAATCAATTCTATTTATACGAGCCAATCTTCAACATAAGCAACTAACTGAAATAACTTTGCCATAAAAATGGTTAATTCTCTTTCATTAAGTTATTTATACCTCCGGAAAAAAGTCTTTCTCCCATTATTTCTATTCTATCATACTTTGCATTAAATTTATTGCCGAGTAAAGATATGACATAAGAGTTTTATTTCAGTGTGACCTATACCATATTGATATAAAGCTCTTGTCATATCTTTACTCAGCAATAAATTTGATGCAAAGTATGATAGAATAGAAACAAAGAGGAAGAAAGATTTCTGTCCGAGAGTGTAGTTATATAGAACACAAGTGCCACTAGTGATAGATCGTATTCTTTAGAAAAAATAGTTCTATTATAAATCACACAAAAAATTCAAGATATGTTGTCTATATTGTTTCAAGAACATTCTTCTAACCAACGATTGTTTTCTCTTTTTTGTATTAAAATATTATTCACCTCTTCTCCATTAATGAATGCGGGATAAGTAAAATAAAGTCGTTTACTAACGGTATATGGGACGAAAAAAGTGTTGAAATCAGGATTTTTCATTGAGATCACCACAAAATTTGACTTTTTTAAGAGACATAATACAAGACCCCTCTTGTGACTTGTGAATGATAAGACAGAATAGAAGACCCGGGGTATTCTAATTTGTCGAGGGCTTTAGGCCACTTCAAGGTAGTCCTCTATCGACTGTTGATCCATCTCTTGGTATGTTCTAGATCAATAAGTAATCGAGAAATAATCTAGAGAAAAATGGATTGTTAGCATACAGATTCCAACAAATGTTGACTGCGAAATATTTTGTGTTATGTATGGTTTTCTTGAATTTGACAGAAAATACACTACCACATTTATTTCCGTCATCTCCCTGGCATATGTACACGTCATATCGTTTTTTGGATGCGAGTGTGGTTAATAGGGTCAGCAGCAACACTCGTACTCTGTTCATGCTTAAATTAAATTGCTTTGGTAATAAAACTTCTATGCTTGCTTACGAAGTGGATAAACTTTTGAAAAAATGCCAAGAAAGAGCCTCAAATAGCATCAAGGAGACGCAGTACAATGTGTAGATGAGTTGTCTGGCTATAAATTGCAGCTTTGATTTGGTCAAGATGCAAAGATAAAGAGTTATTATAAAAACAAAATGTTTTTCTTAAAATAATCATCAATCGATGTTGCATAAATGATTCAACAATTGGAGGATTAGTTTTTTGAGAGAATTTATGTGCTTAAGAAGGCATCAAAGCAATATCGAATTTGTAATTATCGACAGATGAAGTTGTCTGTTTCTTCATTTTCAATGAATGCGAAATAGAGTAACTATTCATTAGACGTAAAAACGGGTACTCTTACTATTCTGCTTCATTTGAATGGAAACGATGATTTCGAAAAGAATCTCTTGTTTCTTGTTTGTTGTATGCAGGTAATTGCTAGACCTGTTATTTTTCTATTCACAAAACGATGAAAAATCTTTGAAAACTCAATTATACCGTTGAATGGTTCAATATGATCGTTGTTCGCGTTTACATATAGCAAGTGTCATTAAGATCGGCATCTGTAGTCACACATTATTAGCGGATTGTTCTGAACTGAATTCATGTGAATCATTCACCAACTTCTGTCAACCTGGCTACTAATGTGTTCGTCATTCTCGGTGTCCTAATGTTCCTGTTTGTTATCCAGGATGTGAGTGTGGCAAGGGGGAAGTAACCAATTTAAATCAGCTTAAATCAAAACTAACTTATATAACTCACTTAAACTCGCAGTAAATGATGTAAAATCACTCATTCCAATTCAAAAACAACTCTTTCTAACTTCAGAGCATAATCAAACTTAATTTGTTTTGTACTGATGCTTAACAATTTTCAATATAAACATTTTCCTGCCGAGCGTCTGTAAGAGAAAGGGAAGGAAGAACGTTTACCATTAAAAATAAACGAGAATATTTTTTTTCCGAATAAGTACCAATAAACAGTTTTATTTATTTGTATGCCTGTGTAGGCACTAGGTTTAGTTGGAAAAGCCTATTGTGACCTCGCTTAGTTATTTGACCCAATTTCTTATGGATGTGGGGCATTAGTGTGAGTGTATGTGCGTGTGGGTGTTGATGGATATGCATGACGAAAGTCATACCTACACCCTATTCTGCCCGGTTGAGAAGCAGAAAATCAGATAGTGTGAACATGTTGAATCTTTGTTTTTTAAAAACAGTATTTTGATCTTGAGTATTCTATGCCAAGTCGTTCTTCAAATGGAAAACAACAATATTCACTAAAACATCAAATGAATAAAATTTAAAAATAAATAACTCTTCAATTTGTTCTGTCTTATTATCCTTTTATTTTGTGTTAATAAAAGAAAAACAAAAAGTAACGATGATTCTTCTTGTATAACAAAAAATCAATAATGGCATAAATTACATTTGTTCTAAGGGTTGAATGCCTAAAACTTCAAAACATTGTTTCAATACATTTGCTATTACTTCAGATAAAAGTATTCGTCGATAATTAATTTGAACTTCACGAGTTATTATATCTTTCTCAACATAATAGCATCGATCATAAAAATCATTAAACATTATCGCTAACTGATACATAAAGTCACATAGATCATGCATTGATAATTCACCAAGTACTCGTGTAAACACATCAGAATATTTAACGATGCATTTAACTAATTTCAATTCACATTCTTCAATTTCAAAATTAAGATCAATATCACATGCTATGGCTGTTAATATATTATGATCGACATCAGCTATTCGAACAATCGATCTAAACTACATTTAAATAAATAAGAGAAAAACAAAAACGAAAAGACTTTTATTACCGAATTCGTGTATATGTATAAAGTAAATAAGCAACTGTATTTCCGCGATCATCAAGCATCTAGAATTAAAATTTTAAAGCAACACAAAGCATTATTTCTAAATTTTCTTACTCGATCAAATGAAAATACATAATCCGAATTTTGATGATGAGATAAATCAGTATATTTAATGCAACCATATGCAATTGATTTTTGAGCTTTTCCAAGTTCTTCAGATGTTAATACCTAAAAGAAAAAAATAATAAAAAATGAATTATGAATGAAAAAGGAAAAAGGAAAAAAAGGGATTTATACATGATGTCGATCTTTTTCTTTTAAGTTTTCGCTTAATCGTTTTATACTTTCATCAAGTAAATTGCATAAACGAATTGCTTCATCACATCGACCTCTTATTCTTTTGCTATAGAAAAGAAAAGAAAAAAAACAAGATTAGTCCATGTTTCTTATTAAATATACAGTGTTCCAAAACTCCTATGACAAAGTTAACGCAAATATTTCTTACAAAATTCTTACAATTTAACTGTTTTTATTTCATGATATGATAATAAGTTCTTCGAAATTTTATCTTGTTTACTCTAGTTTACAACAAATATTCAAGATAATTAGTATGAATTGAAAATGTATAAATTCATTGTTGTCGAAATATTTGCTAAAACCTTTACATAAAGATTTTACTGACGGCCTGTCAGAAGACTTTTTCATCGTCTACTGAACTAATTGCACAAAGACGTTCAAATTTTGCTTTAAAGCAAACTTCATTTGATATGTTTTTTGTCAAATTGAATCTTCAAAGGAGGGGGACGGTTTGCACGTAAAACGGCCCTAAATAAAAATCATCTCAGAACATTTTATAAAATTGAATTTCATCTTCCTCTAAGCAAGAATAAAGCATCTTGACCTATTTCACACCATCTCCAGAGAGCTATCCTAGACTTTTCCAACTACGACAGAAGCATTATCCAGTTCTCAATCACCCTCATAGGTCAATCGGGTTAGTTAACCAAATCAAACTCTTATTATCAGAGGAGATAGAGCTTTCCAAGAGCTACAAAATGATCACAAATTGTAAAGGAAAATATGCTGCCCTCGAGAATTTCCAAAGATCACACTGTTTCAGTTCTACAGGAAAACCCACCGTTGGGATAGTATGGTCCATACAATCTTGAGTATCGTTCCTGATACTATCGTCATTTTTTGTGTGCAGATAGAGTTTTTCAAGAGCTACAAAATGATCACAAAATGTGAATTAAAATATGCTGTGCTCGAGAATTTCCAAGGACCATACTGTTTCAGTTCTACAGGAAAACCCACCGTTGGGAGAGTATGGTCTATACAATCTTGAGTATCGTTCTTGATACCATCGTCATATTTTGAGTGCAGATAGAGTTTTTCAAGAGCTACAAAATGATCACAAAATGTGAATTAAAATATACTGCGTTCGAAAATTTCCAAGGACCACACTGTTTCAGTTCTACAGGAAAACCCATCGTTGGGATAGTATGGTACATACAATCTTGAGTATCGTTCATGATACAATCATCATTTTTTCTATGCAGATAGAACTTTTGAAGGTATTCGAAATGATCACAAATTGTAAAGGAAAATATGATGCGGTCGAAAACTTGCAAGGAGCACACTGTCTGGATTTGACGGGGAAACCTATTGTTGGGGTGGTACGGTCCATACAATCTTGATTATTGTTGCTGATGCCATAGTCCCCTTCTTTTTGCAGATACAACTTTTCAAGGTCTTCAACATGAGGATGAATTGTAAAGGAAAATTTACTTTCCTCAAGAACCCTTATGGACAACACTATCGAATCGAAATGGGAAAATCAATTGTCTAAATAGTATGGTGACCGGGTGTTGATTTTAAGATCATAGAACGGGTGTGTATATTAAAGTGGTGATAGAATGAATTAAAGGTATCGAAACGTTATGGATGTGAACGAAATAAGGCTGGAGCAATGTTTCGAGGATGGTTGACATCCAATAATGGGTGAGTGAGTTTTGCGATTGAGAGGAAGGATAGGAAACATAGAGAGATTCAAATAGAAGATTCGGTATACAGAGAGTTTGAGGTAGAGGTTGGTGTATAGTGACGGAGAATGGGGAAAATATGTTGGGGAGAGACAGATTTACAGATATTATACGAGATTGCGAGAGAGAAGGAGAGAGAATATCTTTGGTGGAGAGTGATTTGGTGAAAGGATAAGGGATAGTAAGATAGATGCAGAGAACACATTTTCCTTGGAGAGTGATTCGGAGATTAGATGTTTCATAGAGAGAGAGATGTGAAGAAGACATTTTTAAAGAGAGGAACTAGAATTATTTTATAGATAGCGCGGAGAGAATATAATAGCGAGGGATTACGTGAATCGTTATTACATTTTGTATAAAATGAATTCGAAGGAGTCCTATGCTTGTGATTGTTGTGGTGGTCGTGTAACTGCAAACAGCCGGGTTCGTCTCTTCGCAAGATGCCTTCCACTTTTCCTCACAACCGGTTTGTTTTCAATGTCTCCGCCGATGGATGCGAACATTTGTACACCGAACTACGCATATGGGCGTCATATTTTCGGCCAGTACTATAGAGGGAAGCATAAATCATACCTGCTAAACATATCATTGACTACACTATATTAACCGTCGATCACTGCCAAAATTCCCGATACTGTACTCCTTCAGATTTTCTAGCAACACAATAATTGCCTAATGTTTTATTATTGTTTTGCTGCTCTTCAAATGCTTCATCTGCAGAGAAAAAATGACGATGGTATCAGGAACGATACTCAAGATTGTATGCACCATACTATCCCAACGATGGGTTTTCCTGTAGAACTGAAACAGTATGGTCCTTGGAAATTCTCGAGTACAGCATATTTTATTTCACAATTTGTGATTATTTTGTAGCTCTTGGAAAGCTCTATCTCCTCTGATAATATGAGTTTGATTTGGTTAACTAACCCGATTGACCTATGAGGGTGATTGAGAACTGGATAATGCTTCTGTCGTAGTTGGAAAAGTCTAGGATAGCTCTCTGGAGATGGTGTGAAATAGGTCGAGATGCTTTATTCGTGCTTAGAGGAAGATGAAATTCAATTTTATAAAGTGTTTTGAGACGATTTTTATTTAGGGCCGTTTTACGTGCAAACCGTCCCCTCTCATTTAGTTGAGTCAAATGTTTGAATATGTCGAATATTGAATTTTTAAATATTAAACATCTTTCTATTCAACTTCTGGTCGGGGTGTGTGGATGTGGGTCTTCATTCCATTTGCAACCATACCCAGCACACACCTACACTCACCACCCACACCCCACACCCCAAGAAAATATACGATGATCCGTGCTAATGCAGATAATAACACAGAGGCATTCCTTCTTATGTTTATATGGGATCAGGTTGTAAGAAATGATAAGAAGAAAATGAATTAAAAGAAAGAAGAAGAACACAGAAAAAACGAAAAAGAATGATGTATGGAGGAAAATATCAGCTTCTGCTACCGGGGAGTTGTACGCAAAAAAACTTTTTCTCGAAATTTCGCTAACTTAGTAGAAGGCGAGAAATGATCAAATAGCAAAGAAAAATAAAGCGAAACACGCTCTATTTATTGTTAAAAAAAAAACTTTTTTAGACCTCTGCTTGAGGAAGTAAGGTGCCTCCCTCACTACTTTTGGATTGCCCTAAGTATTTTTCTCATGTAACGTACTAGCTTTTCGAAATAAATATATAGAGTACTATTAATTAAATTGCACGCGACTCTTCATATATCCAATGGTATGCGAATGTGATGAAGACCTTTCGAATGTTGTTAATTAAAAGATCATCTATTTGTGCAAATTGTTCCTAGAAACCCTCGTTACCTCTTTCTAAAGCATTTCTTTAAAAGAGTAAAGATGTCATACTAATAATGTACAAAGCAATGTTAAAAAATGAATATTTTAATATCACTTTGGCCTGTTATAAATGTGACTAATAATATATACAAAATAATCCTTACGAGTATATTAGCTCCAAACAAAGAAATAAATACAATGGAAACAGCATAAATCAATCAATTAAATAATAATAATAAGATGACACTTGTTTATGTAATCATAAAAAATTCTTGGATGTGGATCTTGTATGTCTACTGTAAATTGCATTGTTTAATAATTTCCTTTAAAATAAAAGCTGAAGAACTAGTACTTCTGCCTTTCGTTGGGAGTACCACATGAAGTATTGCCTTTATATTGCATTAAAAGAGTAAATACATGGATAGTATTTGAGCCATACAATTTCTAAAGAGCTGAACAAATAACATACACGACAACACAATCTCCATTGTGGAAATACTGATGATAGTTAAGGTTTTTCTTGTTGTTTTCTCTATATAGTCCTAATGAGAGTAACGAAAAAAATACTCATTTTTGACCTATCATTTATAGATATATCAATAAAGTGATACTAACGTGAACTCTCATATATAATATATCTATCTTCACTGGTAGCCCGTTTACCGAACAGATAGACTTCCTTGCTTAATTCTTAAATAATAAGAAAGGAATAGAAACAAAAATCTGACTTCAAAAAATAATAAACGAACAGAAAGCATCTCATGAATATTGATACTTTCTTGGTTTAGCTATTGTATTCGCTATTTACTGTACAATTCATTGGATCCGTTGAAAATTCTATTACTACACATAAACACAAGTCCATTACAGTTGATTTGTCAATAATTAATAAAACTTTTGACACAAATGAATTGCTGATGTTATTTGATTTTTAACTATGACTATCAAGGTTATATGAAATAATATCGTTCTAGCCATTTTGTAATTTTACTAGCAACGTGTCATCTTCAAGAATATATGACAACACATTTTTTTGTATTTGTTTTGGTTTGCTGTTATTAAAGCTTCTGTATATTTTAAATTAGGTACACCATGTAATCTTCCTAATGTTTGTATGAAAAAAAAAAAACTTCAAAATCACAAAAAAGAGCAATGGTGAAATGATAAATATCTAGCTTCGTTTAAACTTGTTAAGATTATTTTATTAGGCAAAAAACTACAAAAAAGTGTTCAAAATCAGTGCGAAGAATATGGGTTCGATATGGCATTTATAGGATGGGCTACTTTGAAAACGTTTTTCCTTATTGATCTTCTCCAAATATCTCATGAAACTTTATATTTGCCTTCGCAGCTGCATGATTAATAATGAGAGAAACAAATGTTAGTGGGGTAAAAGAGGTGAAAGAGGCTCTCAACAATTATCGTTACGAACATAGCAAGCGCCATTTCGTTCATTTCTGTGTGATCAAACAGCCAGAAAACAATCGATTCGATATGAAATCAAATCATATTCAGTTTTTATTAATTGATGACTCATCTTCAACGAGCTGAAATTGGAAGGCCTGTGTGATGTATTGATGCAGTAACGTCAGTCACGGATGTCCTCACACCCATTTTCATGATTCTTGTACAACATAAATTGACTTGAATAGTGCGACACATATATTAGGAACAATATGTTGAGGTGTTGATCTTGGTTCTATTAAGACAGGTTTTTATATATCCATGATAATACACAATTGTTTTTTGTCTATCATTAGGAATCTGATGGAGCTGTCGATCTTGCTACTGAATGGCACACGCACTTTTATTGAGTTAAAAATAAAAGTAATGGAAATGAGCTAAAGCTTCGAGCTGGATTTGTTACTGATAATAAATTTGATGCGATAGGTGGCTTCAAAGAAATTGAAAAAATAATAATCTCATAGGTAAACGAAGCAAGACATGATATGTGCAGGGTATTGTGTAATCAAAAGCAACTTGTAGTAGAATTAAGACTAGCATTGTAGATATATATGATGACGCTTCTTTATTTATTGAGTCATTTGGCTATTAATATGATTTTTTTAGAGCTAGAAGAAGTTTGAATATGCAAAAAAGCAGATTCTTACCAATGCAAACATCTCGAAACGGGACGTAGTAGATCTTTTCTTTTTTTTTTATAGCTGCTCACGATTGAAAGTATATTTGTTTGACTTCGAGAGCGATCTTTGTTGAGAGTGTTACTATGAGTGTGGGTATAGATGTGGGTTAGGATTAGACGAACAATCACACCAATAGCCACAGGCGAATCTACCCTACATCAACACCCTAAGACTATAACTTGTACCACAGTGTATTGAATCTATGTATCAATATAATATCACATGTACCTCGGAAAAACCTCGGATCAAGGTGGTACATGGTGGAACAAGTTGGCACATAGTTAGCTGTGAACCGACTAATACTAGTTCTATCCATTCTTGTCCATCTCTGAAATGGTTAAATTATATTAAAGTGAAGAATAAAGTGTAATACTATTCACATCAGTATCTTTTCTATCGAAACACCGTCATATTGATCAAGTTTTATTTTCTGTGTTTGTTTCAAAGGAAACCTAGAAATAGATTAACACCTTGTGTCTAGTAATAAATTATGGCAATAGTATGAACTCAAAATGGCACATAGGGTAACTTTTTTTCTTTTTAATAGCTATTCAACTTTGTTTTCGTCATCATTTATTCGTTCCATAGAATAACAAATATAGTCCAATAGTAGTGCAGAATTATCTGATATATATGTCTTTCAGAACTTCTTGGAGAAAATAAAATGTATTAGATGATATAATCTTCAAAAAATTAACTGCTCTGAGCAAAATTCATGCTTTTTTATAAGAGTCTATAAAAATAACCTTTTTCTACGCATATCAACTTCTTCTATCCATAGAACAGAGAGAATTTTTTTTTCCTTCTATCTCTGGTTAATTCATTTTTATAATCCAAGTAATTATTTTTCAAATCATTTTCTTGCTATCTAGTTGATAGAAAAATTAAGTGAAGCTCAAACTTTTGCACAATTTTTTGATCGTATCACAATGGATGTTTTTGAAACATTCTCCTCCGTTTTCATGCTGTTATGTAGTATATTAGGTGTTGTATCTGCAATTATATTTATTGGTATAGTCATTTGCTCTCGACGATGTCGCACAATGACTATTCTACTTGTTCTAAATTCAACAGTGGCTAACTTGATCATTAATTCTGTCTGTGGTTCTCAGGCAATTTATCAACTGGCAAGTGATGGCAATGATAGGTTATGTGAACTGAGAGGTTTCTTTATTCATCTTGGAACATCTCTTCTATATCATACGCTATGTGTACAAGCACTTCATCGTCTTTTTGTCACTGTATTAGCTAGACAACGATATCTTCAATCAACACGTGTTATTATATTTCTTGTTATTTTACAGTGGTTGATGTCCTTGGGTCTGTGCCTTCCCATGCTTCTCACTAGACGCATTGTGTATCATCCGAAGAGTCGTATTTGTCAGGTTTGTTGCATACACATCATCTTCTCGAAAAAATAAATACAATCATTTGTTTATTCAGATACATTGAGTTTTGATTTGTATTCTATTAAAAGTTGACTAATACCCACTGAAGCACTAAGGAGCTAGAAAGTCTAGACAAGGACTTGATTGCATCGTTTTATACAAGTCACACTTTTTTGTGATATCCAAAAGAAAGTCAGCCTTTTTCTAATAAAACTCTCAATGGTAAATATATACGGACTACTACATAGAACAGATGCAATGTTTCACAAGCTTTCCAAAAAATTGTGAAGTTACTCGAAAACTGCATCGATATAAGGAAGACTATTGCGAGCAGGCATACGACATGAAGGTTTTTAATGATTAGATCTAGGTATTGTTAGAATCCTTGAAAAAGTAATAGAATAAATTATCAAGACTTGTATTCATTGTGTCAAGTATTTAAAAAAAACTGTTCTCTACAATTATCTGTTGTTTATGGCAGGAGTTACTCATTTTGACTTAAATGCAACTTTAACTCGAGAAACCATCATACTTGTCTTTTCGATAATTTTCAAAAAAAGAAACTCTACCATTCAATTGATTTCGAAATATCTTGTTTGCATCTGTATGTTTAAATTAAAAATAGACGATGCACAAAAATGACTTATTCCAGGTTTTTCTACTTTCACTAATTATTCTTAAATGAGAAAAGTTAATCTTTAAAGCACCGTGTTGTCTGAGTAGGCTTATTCGTTCATAAAATAATTATGGTAAATAAATCCTTCAATTAAATCTCGAGAATACGGGAAAATACTCTTTGCCTATTATAGGTAGCAATGAGTGATTTATTTGTCCTTCTTGGTTTGGCAGCATTTGTCTATCTCTGTCCACTTATATGGATCGGTATAGTCTATATTCAAATTGTCCGATATGCAAAATATAATATATCAATAACAATTCGTCGATGTCTAGTCCAAAAACAACAACGTGAAATTCGTCTTATTCGTCGTATTCTTACACTTTTTGGTATCCTTTTTATTATGGGTTTTCCTTATTTTGTTTTTTTTCTCATGGTTCAATTTACTCAGTCACCAGCACCGTCCTATGGTCTACGACTCAGTTTTGTGTTTCTGTCATTTGGTTATGGCATTTGTCCATTACTCAATTTATTATATACAGATGACGTGAGAAAAATTATATTGAATAGAAAAAATACATGTCAATGCCATCATAGACAAGCTCGAGTACAATGCGTGAACACCATCAATATGGCTACTTAAATATATTTTTCTATAGAGAGAAGAGAGATATTTATTTTAGAAAAGTGTATCCGTGCAACATTGTTATCTATGTGTGTATTCAAATAAATATTATTACTCAAAGATCTGAGAATTCATGACGGAGTCGTTTTTAACAACCAGCCAGGGACATCTTAGTAAAAAAAACGATATGATGTTTTCGAAAAAACTATTTGGCCTTCACTAAAGAAGACCAACCAAACTTGTGTATATTGAGAACAATATTTGATGAGTCAACGATACACTATAATAATTTAGCGTCAATTATCATTTGATTTTGACAGTGAGGAGTATGGGTGTGGGTGCCAATGTCAATGTTGCTGCAAATGTAAAGGAAATTTACAACCGCATCCCATCAACAGCTATGCTAAAAAAAAGTTGCTATACGGAATCCGTAAACGGTACTGAGTTTTAGAACAAAATGGAAATTCTTTAGGGTATCATACAGATTTCTCTTTTGCATTTTTCAAAAAAAGAGTTCTACAGTGTGATTTTTCCACTAACCTAAGATGGTCTCAAAATGATTGTGAGTGGTCGGAAAAGCATTTTCAAAGCATCCGTAATTTGCCTGCGAAACCTAAAACTGTTTGAATTTTGTTTAAAACATTAAAATCTTTCTGAGTTTCTTAAGAATTACGGAACCATCAACTGGTTCAATATAGTGCCATTTTTTATTAGTGTACTCACATCTATACTGTGGGTCTTATTGTCCGTCGTACACTCTTCTGGAGTATCAATGCCATTCATGGCACCGGAGTGTACTCTAGCTTTGTATTCGTTTCGCGAAAATTTATGACGACCGTAGTTCATTCCATTGACTGATGCTTCGCACTATAGTAAAAAAATGTGCAATATGCTTGCTCCTGATGCTGTACAACAGTCTAAGCCAATGGTTCTTTTAAACAATTGATAGATAGCTTTCCTTCGTTCCTGCTGGTTTCATCATTTCCTAACATCTCAAAGTCAGAGAATGGAGATCCTATGATTAATAACGATATATTTTAGCCAGGTTTTGAAATCCGATGAATGTTCCGATTACGTGATACATTATATGAGTTTTCGGGAAACTCATTCATTTGTTGGACACTACATCGATTGCTGCAAACCGAATTTAATTTTTAGAGCATGCAGACGGTTCTACTAGAATATGATCATGAAATGTCTTTTATGTCTTTCTTGGGAAACTGACTAAATCTAAGTATGAGGAACACAAAAGGTAAAGAAGATAATGTAAATATTAGATAGGCGGGATATGTTGGATATATATCAATCTGACGAAAAAAGCACCGAAATGGTTCCGTTGAGGTGAAAATGAAAAGTGCTTCTAAACCAAGGTCTATTCAGTCGGTTTCAATAATTTTATTTTTTAAACTCCTTATCTAGAGTTACTCATTTACTTTGAACAAAAATCAAGCTGCCATCTATTTTAATCTTCCGAAACACGTCCCAAAACTGTCAAATATCTGCCTATTGACTTTTTGCTGCAATAAATGTACATTACATAGGTTAGATAATCAAACAGAGTATGCGGAACATAGGATATTTCAGGGTGTGGGTGTGGGTGTGAGTGTGGGTCTATTTGTCATTTCTCTTTGGAACACTCACACCCACACCCACACTCAAATTTAACCTTAATCAGTGTTGCTAAATCTTGTGTATCTGAGCTCCAAGTAGATCTATTATGTTTAATATATTAATTGATAATGAATTAAATTCATCTGTAATAGAAAAAGTAATAAATGCAAGAACCAAAACTGATTTTTAAAGTCTACGACTTAATTTTGCTCACTATTGAATCATGGCTCTGTTTATATACTTAAATTCTTTTGAAATAGCTATTGAGGAACTGTAGAATAGGGATTAGTCATGCAAGAACATCATTCTATCAGGTTTCTTCTCATTATAAGTTTATGTGCAGCTCAGAAATGAAACAATATTAATTTTTCTCACATTGACCGAAAATCTGGACTAATTCTTGGCTAAAAAATAAAACAAATTACAACAATGAACGGCGACTGATTCAAATTCCGTACACGTTTATACGACTCAATAATAAAAATTAATCCGAGATGGTATGATATCGACTTGGAGCTTACGTTATATTTTTATCAAGATAATTAAAATATGTTTCTTTTTTTATTTTTGAATCATGCACAAGCTTATACGATGAAATGTTTCAGCTAAATCATATCAGTATATGCCTAACAATTTTTTTTCTAATTTCTCCAAAGCTCAGCAATAGCTTAGTTAAGATATTCTTTTCACTGGAACTATTCGTATTCATGTCACGAGTCATCGAATGGTGGAGAGTAGATAAGCATGTGGATATGAAAATCAATGTAAAGAACTTATGATTTTATCTACTTAATAGTATGAAATCACGATGGAGCTGACAATCCATCGCTAGTTTCACAGAAATTATTAGAAGTATTTAGAAACTGGTCACACAATTTTAAAATTTCGATTTATCAACAGTTGAACACGTCTATATTTATCAGCAGTGTCACATATCCAAGATTTTGGAGATGCCACCACGTCTCCCGCGGGAGATGCCGCATCTCGCGCGAGAGATGCGGGTGTGGGTGTGGGGGATGCGCTTCTCTAAAGGAGATCTTACATCTCCAGTGGTGAATGACCACATCTCTCGAGTGTGGGTGTCGCGTCTCCCGCTGGAGACGCGGCATCTCCCACGGGAGATGTGGTGGCATCTCCAAAATCTTGGATATGTGACACTACTCATATTTATAAGCTAATGAAAGTATCGTTTTAACACGCAAAAAAAAGTTAGTTGCAATAAAAACTCATTATCAAACTTTTGACTTGCAAAAGAAATTAGGAGTCTATTGAACCTCTACTCTACATGTAAATTTAACAAAATTTGTAACAACAAAATTAAAAACAAAGAAATATAATTGATAAAGAGAATTCCATTGAAGTAAAAACCATCACATTAAACGGTTTTATGATGACGATATGATGTACAACTTATTGAAGATATGTCCATTGACAAATGTCTAGCCGACTGTAGGGTAGCGAACAAATACATCAATATCCATTATTCTTGATATCCTGAATATTTGTTTACATCTATGAAAAAAAAATCAGAAATTGTACCACCATTTAAAGCGCAGTTCTAACAAATGAGAAAAAAGAAATAATTGTTGCAATGATTAATAATGGATAAATAATTCACATATGTCATTATTCGAGAACAATAGTCACATTATAAACGAGTTCTATATCTTGGTATTATTTATTAAATCTATTTATTTAGACAAAAAATCTTATACAATTGTTTTTGAAAATAAAAGAATTAATGTTCTTATTGATCATATTCACTTATATTCATGCATTTGTATTGAGCTATTTTGAAATAACATTATATATTAACATAGCTTTCTATTAACAAACGTATTTTTAAAATTACCGTCGTAATATTGTCTTTAAAAGTTAATACTTCCATTAGCTAGAGAGAAAAGAATCTTTTTAGAACGTCATCTATAATTTAATGTCGAACACTTTGAAAGTACCATTATTTCTCAAAAAAGAAAATAATCTTCATTCAATGAATATGTCACTTCACAAGTTTTTTAAATTTTACTTGTTCAACTATGAGTCCTAACAGTTTGACAATTCTTTCTTAGAAATATCATAAAAACTGTATTTGGTAATATGATATTGATCATGACATTATAAAAAGTATTATTGTAGAGGTAACTGAGTTATGTCATTATAATAATAGTACTAAAATTTTTCCGATATAGTTGATTTGATTGCTCAATAAAACAAAAAACAAAGCACTATATTCAACTTTCACTTTGAGTAAATTATACAAACATAAACGAGTTAACTACCTTTATAACATAAAATTCAAAATAAAATGATAAAAGAAGATAGCACATATAGTCTTGTTTATTAGACAGAAATCAATATCTGTTTATTAGTAAGTAACATAAAATGCGTCTACAAGTAAATTATTCAAGCGTGGATGAGAGCTTGTGAGTAAGTACTGTTTCATCACTAAACAGTCACATTCAACAAACACAATTGTATTACTTTTTCTTATTGTTATATAGTACAGATACTATCGCTTCATGCCTCGATTCTGAGAAAAAAAAATAAGGGTGTGGGTTTGGATATTGTTTTTCGCTGTATCCATACCCACATTCACACCCACACTCTAAAAAGTCAGAAAAAGTACTGAAGAATTCATGAGAACCGTATGACATCAATGCAATTAAATCATCTTTCTTGAATGTCGTCAAAGAGAAAAAGAGAAAAATAGTTCAACAAGAAAGATCACTGGAAAAAAAGACGTTTTAACATATTTTTATTTAGTGTTATCATCAAGGTCTTTTTCATTTCTCTCTTATTTACAAACTAGATACTGTCTCATAATTTTATTTGCAAATAGTGAATCATTTTCATTTGAGAAGAACGTCGTAGGTTTACTCATTTTTTCCGTAGATTGAAAAAACAAATGCAACTTCATTATTCATCTGAATTGTTTTGTTTTCGTGGTTTGATTCATCCAGACAAAATATTGGATCAAAATAAATGTCGTGGAACTTCCTTGGTGCAAACTTGATAAAATTGTAAAAGTTTGGCTTTGAAACAAGATGGACTTTCCTTCAATCATCAATCGGATATATATAATCGTTTGCTGTTTCACTTGTCTATTAGCTTTTACTTTTCTGACGATCGCTATTATTTACAGAAGATATTGTTTTCATTATTCTACTCTACTGGTTTGTAATACAGCTCTAGCCATTTTTTTATATGCTGCTAATAATATAGCTGTAGCTGTCTATATGCTAATCTGGGATCAACAATCAGTACCAAATATTGATTCACTTTGTACATTACGTGCCTTTATTGATTATTCTGCTATTGCTTCCGTTCATCATTCATTTATTCTACAAGCAATAGAAAAATATTTTAAGATTAGAAAAATCAAATCTCTTGATACACAATCTCGAAAA